TCATTCCACAAAGCAGTATTGGGGGTGGCTGGGAGAGGGTTGTTTTAGATTTTTCTTTTTTTGTTTTGTTTTTGGAAGCAACTATCATTAGTGATAAATGCATTTTACCAGCACAAGGAAACCTAGGCAGCACTGAGAAAGAAAAAAAACCCCATAATAATCAAACTGACAAGATGGCTGTGGAAGGCTTGTCTGTTGTGGAACAAAGTTGCAGTGGGCTGTTTTCCGAACAGGGCCAAAAAGCTGTCTTCCCTGAGCAACTTTGCTGGCAGTACTGGTGGCGCTGAATGTAAACATCAGCTCAGTCTGACTTGGTGATATTAATCGGTTTGACTGCGAATTAGATTTCAGATTGAACTTGTGACGGGAGTTAATGAGGATTGAGTTTGGGGAATGCTGAAGTGTTAATTTCACATGTGCAAATTCTGAACTGCAGTTCAGTTACGCAATATTTTCACATCAACCCAGTATCGAAAACTAACAGTAGAGAAAACATCAAGTTGGCTGGGGCTCACGTCAGCCCTGTGCTTTTTGGGAAACAAACAGCATGCAGAACGGGATGGTTTATATAGGTCAGTACAACCTCAGCCGCTCCACAGGCTTCCATCCGCAACCAGGTTCCTGTCGCTCATTTATTTATCATTTTTGTTTTAGACTGAAAGTCTCTAGGAGCTTAATTTATATTCTTTGTACCCTTTTTTATTTTTTTCTTAAAATTACCAAAGATGTTACACAAAGGTTAATTATGTTCTCTGTTTTATGCTTTATCTGATGAAGCCAAATATCCTCTTATTGTTGATCAAAGGAGGCGAAAGAATTTCCAGGCAAGTGACAAGATACAGGCTATTACTAACCTGAAATAGAGCGCTGCCCCTACTACATCATAAATGTAGATGACCAAGTAGTTAACGGAACCAAAGTTGGTACTTGTTTTTTGGGCCCTTGTTTTTATTTTTCCCTGTACCTCTACAAAGACTAAAACTCACTCTTCTAAAGAGAAACTTATGGGAATACTGAAGATATAAATAGGACCCAGTGTTAAAGGAGCTACAGAAGGAAGAAAGTCCCATCTCAAAGAAAAAAGTGAACGCAGGCCCCTGAAAATTAGGGTTATCCGATCAAAGAGACAGTTAAAACGTCAGAGTGAACAGAAAAGATTCCACAGTGGAACCAGACCACGTAATAGTGTTTCTAGAATATAATTTTTGTTAGCAAGATACTATACCACTTAGGTTTGAAAAGGACTGTGCTGTGACCACTGCCTTACTTTCGGTAAATCTTCACATACATATATCCTCCAGTTTGGGGTGTCTTTGGGGTTTTTTTTCTCCTGATATATATATCTATTTTTTTTTTTTTTAACCTTTTTTTCCTTCCTGTTTTCTGATTAGACTACAGCTGGCCATTTTCATTAGACAAAAAAGAAGAAAGTAACCCCTCCTGCCCACTCCTAAGCTTGGTACAAAAACGACTTTGGCAGTTACTTTTGAAGCTTCACTCTACTTTCTGTATAAAGGGCAGTCTGTGGTCACGCAAGACTTTCTCCCCCACTCCGTTCTCTTGCCCCCCCCCTCACCCCCAGTTATCGAGGCAGCCTTATGATGTGCAGGCAGTAGCCAGACAGGGTCATGCGAAGGGGGCCCTGTACATCTAAACTGAGTGGTTGCTGGTTAGTTTGATATTCAAAAGAGGATAAAAATCGGGTAGATTAGTTCATTCTCAGCATGTGTAGCTAGACATGAGTAAAGATAACAGCATGAGAAAACTGTTAGTA